TTCTGACCATGAAGGCATCAAACTAGAAATAAACCATAAAAAGAAGGCAAGGAACTTTCCTACCTCATGGAGATTAAAAACCACACTACTGGAAGACCATTGGACTAATGAGGAGATCAAAGAAGAAATTAAAAAATTTTTTGAATTGAACGACAAGGAGGACACTAATATCCTAAATGTATGGGATGCAGCAAAAGCAGTAATAAGAGGAAAATATATAGCAATAGAAGCTCACATCAAGAAACAAGAAAGAACGCAAAGAAACAACCTCATCTCGAAGCTCAAAGATCTAGAAAAAGAACAACAAAAAAACCCCAAAACCAGTAGAAGAAAAGAAATAATAAAAACCAAAGCAGAAATAAATGAAATTGAAACTAAAAAAACAATCCAAAAGATCAATGAAACCAAGAGCTGGTTTTTTGAAAAAATCAATAAAATAGACAAACCCCTAGCCAGGCTCACAAAGGAAAAAAGGGAGAAAGCACAAATAAACAGGATCATCAATGAAAGAGGAGAAATCACAACGGACACAGCAGAAATCAAAAGAATAATCAGTAACTACTATGAACAGTTATATGGAAACAAGTTTAACAATCTAGAGGAGATGGACAAATTCCTACAACTCTACAATCACCCAAAGCTAGATAAAGAAGAAATAGAACACCTAAACAGACCAATTACAATTAGCGAAATTGAAATGGTAATAAAAAACCTCCCCAAAAACAAAAGCCCAGGACCTGATGGATTTACAAATGAATTCTACCAAACATTCAGAGACGAATTAGTGCCTATCCTTCACAAACTCTTCCAAAAAATTGAGAAGGAAGGGACAATACCAAACACGTTTTATGAAGCCAACATTACACTAATACCAAAACCGAACAAGGACAACACAAAAAAGGAAAACTACAGGCCAATCTCCCTAATGAACACTGATGCAAAAATCCTCAATAAAATTTTAGCTATCAGAATCCAACAATGTATCCATAAGATAATTCACCACGACCAAGTTGGATTCATTCCAGGGGCACAAGGATGGTTTAACATCCGAAAATCAATCAACGTTATCCAACACATCAACAAAAAGAAATATAAAAACCATATGATAATATCAATAGATGCTGAGAAAGCTTTCGACAAAGTGCAACACCCATTCATGATAAAAGCCCTTGAAATTCTGGGAATACAAGGAACATACCTCAACATCATAAAGGCCATCTATGACAAGCCAACAGCCAGTATCATTCTCAATGGTGAAAAGCTGAAAGCAATTCCATTAAGATCTGGAACAAGACAAGGATGTCCACTCTCACCATTGCTTTTCAATATAATACTGGAAGTCCTAGCCAGGGCAATAAGACAAGAGAAAGACATCCAAGGAATCCAAATAGGAAAAGAAGAAGTCAAACTATCACTATTTGCAGACGATATGATATTATACATAGAGAACCCCAAAAACTCCACAGAAAAGCTAATTCAACTCATCAATCAGTTCAGTAAAGTGGCAGGATACAAAATCAACACACAAAAGTCAGTAGCCTTCCTATACACAAACAATAAATCTGAAGAAGAAGAAATCAAAAAGACCATCCCTTTTGTTATTGAAACAAAAAAAATCAAATATTTGGGAATAAATCTAACAAAAGAGGTAAAGGACCTATACAAAGAAAACTATAAAACACTGTTAAAAGAAATAGAAGAAGACACAAAGAAATGGAGAGACATCCCCTGCTCATGGATTGGAAGAATAAACATTATTAAAATGGCCATCCTACCAAAAGCAATATACAGATTCAATGCTATTCCAATCAAAATTTCAATGTCATTCTTCAAAGAAATAGAACAATTATTGATGAAATTCATATGGAATCACCAAAAACCCCGAATAGCCAAAGCTCTCCTGAAAAAAAAAAGAAGGGAATGGAGGCATCAGACTCCCAGACTTCAAACTATACTACAAAGCCATAATCATCAAAACTGCATGGTATTGGAACAAGAACAGACATACAGACCAATGGAATCGAATAGAAAATCCAGAAATAAACCCACAGATTTATGGTCAACTAATCTTTGACAAAGGAGCAAAGAATATGCATTGGAGCAAAGAAAGTTTGTTCAATAAATGGTGCTGGGAAAACTGGGTCGCTACATGCAAAAGAATGAAGCTTGACCACCACCTCACACCATACACAAAAATCAACTCAAAATGGATTAAAGAACTAGACATAAGACCTGAAACCATAAAATATATAGAAGGAAATATAGGCGAAACACTACGTGATATGCACATCAAAGACATCTTTACAGACACATCACCCAAAGCAGTGATAGTGAAGGCAAAGATAAACAGTTGGGACTACATCAAATTAAAGAGCTTTTGCACAGCAAAAGAGACAATAACAAAAACAAAGAGAAACCCCACCAACTGGGAGAACATTTTTGCACCCAACACTAATGATAAAGGACTGATCACAAAAATCTGCAAAGAGCTGATGAGACTCAACAACAACAAAGAAAATAATCCAGTCAAAAAATGGGCAGAAGAGCTTAAAAGAAACATCTCTGAAGAGGAAATGCAAATGGCCAACAGGCATATGAAAAAATGTTCAACATCACTTGTCATCAGGGAAATGCAAATCAAAACTACCATGAGATACCATCTTACACCAGTGAGAATGGCACATATTAAAAAAACTAGCAACAACAAATGTTGGCGAGGGTGTGGAGAAAAAGGAACTCTTCTGCACTGTTGGTGGGAGTGCAAACTGGTCCAACCACTGTGGAAAGCTGTATGGAGATTTCTGGACCTACTAAACATAGAGCTTCCATATGATCCAGCAATTCCACTCCTAGGTATTTACCCAAAGGACACAGAAACATCAATTCCAAAGAACACCTGCACCCCTATGTTTATAGCAGCACTGTTTACAATAGCTAAGCTTTGGAAACAACCCAAATGCCCAAAAATAGATGACTGGATCAAGAAGATGTGGTACATATATACCATGGAATATTACTCAGCATTCAAAAAAGATAAACACATGCAATTTGCAGCAACATGGATGGCGCTGGAAGGGATCATGCTCAGCGAAATAAGCCAAAAAGAAAAAGAAAAATACCGGATGGTCTCACTCATAGCAGGAATCTAGAAAACTTAAATAAGGGACCAGGAAAATGAATAACTATAAGAAAGTGAAAATCAAAATCAACAAAAAACTATGAACCAGAGACACTTTTAGGGGGGCGGGGGTGGGAGGGGAGGGATTGGGGTCAGAATGGGGGGGCTGCAATTGTATGGGGAATATAACAATAAAAATTATTAAAAAAAAAAAAAAAAAAAAAAAAAACCAAACAGGTTTTATCTTCTAAAAAAAAAAAAAGGGAGTGGACACTGCTAAGAGACCCCTTCTCTGAGCACAGATGGCTCAGATGATGAGAATAAATTCTTCTGGCATTATTGGGAGCAACACAGGCAAGCAAGAGGCATGTCTTTAAGGAAAATAACCAGGAAATTCTCTTTTCTCCAATATGTTAGAAGAGACTTATCTTGCTCAATTACATAAGCCCTTTTCACCAAGGATATGGCCCTCGATTTGATCAGACATCAGTGTTAAGGACTCTGAGTGAGCCCTCAGCCTTGCCAAATCTATAACCACCATTTGTTAGTTAAGTAGTCCTTTCAGAAGCTGCCCTCAACCTGGCCCCCCCACAACCTCATATCAGCCCTTGTATCTTATTTGTGTGTAGAACCATAATCTCTTGACCCTCCCACCTCACTATTACCCTTACCCAAGCACTTCTGAAAAGTGATAAGCAGTGAATCTAACTCCCTGGGAACAGAAGATGGATCCCAATTTGTCTGGGTTCCAAGTCTGTAGTAAGTGTAGGGGAGTGTCTTGGTTCTTTAATATGTCTGGGTGGTCGTGTCTGGCTCCCTCTCCCTGGACTTTCTCTATTGTGTAAGGTTTGATTATTATAATAAATCTTATCTTTCATAAAATTTGTAGTCTCTGCTCTGCTTTCTTCTGATTGAACCTTAACTGACAGAATCACTAGAAATGCAAAGGAAGTATAATTAGTAGTTACAAGCAGCAGCTTTGATCCTGGCTTGGATTTGAGTCTTGACTCAGCTACCTCTGTTGTCTAATCTTGGATGACTTAGTCCCTCTAAGCTTCGACTTGCTGATTTTTAATATAGGGTAAGACATAAATGAAAGATCACAGGAGATAGTGTATGCACTGAGCAGTCCTCAGTGTGTTAGCTGTTGGTGCTCAGTTGGATAATCGCCTTTAACAGAGGGAGAATCACCAAGTGGGGAATTCATATACATAAGTACATAAATAAAACAATACATAAATAAGAACATTCAGATAAAAAAAGATAAATATTTGACTAAAGCAAAAAAAGACATTAAACATGAGGGAAGAATCCTGTCCCTTTTTCTAATGTAGTGTTGTTTGTTTTATTTTTAAAAAAATTTTTTTGTGTGTAGAAGAACTAGGGTGTAGGCCAGAGGGGCGGGGGGTGAGAGGATTCACCAGAGACAGAGTGGGGAACAGAAAAGGCAGATTGACTGAAATACACTGCTGAGGGGAACAGTGGGTGGACAGGAAAGGTCTGTTGTGCCATGTGGGTTAGCTCCCTGGACCACCATCAAACTCAGGCTGTAGTGATGATAGTGCTGAAACTTAATCCCTAGGTCACCAGGGAGGCCCTAGTGTTATGTTTGAGAAATGTCTGAGAATCTGCAAACTCCATAAATATCTCAAATGGCCAGAAGAAGTTCAAAATAATTCTGACCTCCCTTCATGCCAATCTAGCCTAGGATATGAAGATAACTTGCATACATGTTAGAAGTTCTAAGAGAATGAGGAAGGTAGTAGGTAGAGGAATTCAACACTCAGTGTAAGAAAACATTCTCAAAACAGAAGGAAACATTCTTTTGTGTGAACAGCATATTTGAAAGAAAAACCTATGGGCCTCAGTTACGGCCACTTACCTGGAATGGTAGCTCTGGGGCCAGGGAGTGCCAATTGTGCCCTGAGATATTTGCATCATGCTGGCATCAGGTTGGTTCTCCCCAAATTTGGTTGAATGCCAAGAGTGAGGTCGGCCTGTAGGGTCACTGCGTCTGGGGATACACAGGAGAGGAAAACCCCAACATTATTAGCAGGATTCTTGGCTAAATCTCTTCATGAAGTGATTTGTGAATTTGGAAGCAGAGACTGTATTTTCCCTCAGAGATTGAAAACAAATACCAGAAAGCAGCATTTTACTGCATGTTACTCTTAGTAACTACTGCCATGCTGTTTCATTAATATTTTTATTTTCATTCTGACAATTTCAAACTTACATAAAAATTCCCACATAAAGAATCCCTGTATAAATCCTAGTGTACCACTGGTAAGAATACAAACTGGTACAACCACTATGGAGAACAATGAAGAGTTTCCTCAAAAAATTAACAGAACCAACACAGGACCCAGCAGTCCCACTTCTGAGTATATATCCAAAGGAAATGAAACCAGGATCTTAAAGAGATAGCCTATGTTTACTGCAGCATTGTCACAACAGCCAAGATAGGGGAACAACCTAGGTGCCTATCACCAGATAAAGGAACATGGAATGGAATATTACTCAGCCATGAGAAAGACATCCTGCCTTTTGCGATAACTTGGATGAACCTTGAGCATATTATGTTGCGTCAGACAAAGATAAAAACTGTATGATGTCACTCATAGAGAAACTCTAAAAGACAAACTCTGAAAGAGAGTAGAGTGAGAGCTACCAGGGGCGGGGGTGGAGATACTGGTCAAAGGGTACAAACTTTCAGCTATAAGGTTATGAAGTTTAGGAGTCTAATGTACATTATAATTATCATACACTTGAATGTTGCTAAGAGAGAAAATCTTAAATGTTCTCAGCACACACAAAAAAAATTTTCATGGTTTAATTACGTGAAGCCTTCTTCACCTAATGCCACAGTATTTGTTCCTTTTATGTGTGTCACACATATCTCAAAAAAGTGTGGGGAAAAATAATTCCCACATAATCTGCATCAAGATTAGGAAATCATGCTAACATTTTATACTTTCTTAATTTAAAGCATACTGGCTTGCTTTGTCTTTCTCTATTCCCATTAAAAAAAAAGGAACAGTAATTCCTCCCCACCTCCCAAGGGCCTTTGTGTGAATATATGGTATAAAGGTCTCTGGGGATTTTGAAATCCTCTGTTACAAGCGGATGTTAGATAAATAACTTTTAATTTCTAGGTAAGAACTACATAAAATTAGCAACTATCTGGGTGTGAACACTGTTCTAACTATTGTTAGTTTCAGTAACAAGATGCTCTCCAAAATAGTTTCTGATTTTGTAAGTCAATGACTTCAACTTTAAAACATCCTGCCCTTTGAACACAAAGAACTGACAAAGCCAAAGGGAAAAAGTGCATGTCCTTCAGACTGCATACTGAAGGATAAACTGGTAAGGAGGATTACACTACTATAGAAGGTCAGAATCAAGAGACAGTTGCTGTGCTTATTTTTGGCATAAAAGTGAGCTGAGCTATCAGGCATTTCATGCCAAAAACTTTTAAACTATAAGACTATAGTTATTTTTTTCCAGTTAAAAAACACTTTTAGAGGATCCAGGGATTTGCTTGGATATGCTAAAGACAGAGAAATAAGAACACCCTCATATTCCCTTTTTCTGAAAAAATAAATTGGCACTTGTAATATAAATGAAAAATTATTCCCCTGATGCCAGTGAAATTTCAAGCATTCAATGTATCTGGATAACACTAGCCTAGGTGTCAGGAGACTAGGTGTTCACTTGGACTTTGTTTTTAACTTATTGTATGACACTGTGTAAGTAAGTCACTTCCCCTCCTTAAGCCTTTGTTCATCTTAAAAAAAAAAAAAGCAAAACCAAAGAAGCTAGATTAACTTCATTTTAATATGAATTAACTTTAAAATATGCAAGAGAGAGTGAAGAACTTGCCAAGCAAGATGATGATTTTGTTACAAGGCAACCCCAATGACAGTGACCAATGCAAGGAAAGTTACTTTAGGGTGGTCAACCACATTGGGCGCCAAACTGTTACTGGGCAACCCCATGTGAAATGGGTTGGCCTGACTCTGTGTCCCCACCTCTGCGCTTCAAAGGGATTTATAATGAGACTCAACCACAGATATACACAAAAGGGGTAATAAAGTGTTTACTTCCAAAAGGGGAAATGAAGAAATGAATAACTCAGGGAGAAAGGGAAAGTGGTGAATGCGTCCTATCAGTTCTGGTGATCTGGAACCCCAATAGTACACTGGTCCAAAAAATCAAGGACTCCCAAGGCCCACATGTCTGGTTATATACGAAACCTGGCTGCTTACCTCCACCCTCAGTTCCCAGCAATCCTCCCTTAAGTGGTGATGAAATTATGGGATTTGTAGTCCTTCATGTCTTGGATCTCTTTGGTCTGGGGTGAGGGTGGGGTCTATAAATCCTGTTTGTGGAGTTTGTTCAGGACATCCTTCCCCCCCCAACAATTTCTGAAAAAATACATATATTTCAGCTCCCAGAAGAGAGGTTATGATAATAGCAAATAATTGTCTGTGAAACAAGGGAAACAGGCAAACAAGATTTCTAGCAGTAGCAGCCAGTCAGTAAATATTTACTGAGTTGAAGGAGCTCCTTAGGTGGCCCTATACCTGGATTGCTACAGCGGCCAGGGAAAGTGAGAAGAATTGAAACCTCTTGAAAAAACTCTTTCAATAGAGAGAGGCTGGAATGTAGCTATGGCTACCAGCTCTAAGGTTGACAAAACTGGAGTCTAGTCTTGATATCATTGGGTTTTACCTTTTGGATTTTAGGTAAGGTTCTTAACCATCTTGAGCTTCTTCATCTGTAAAGGCATTTTTAGAATGGAACAGAACATAGGTTTTGTGAAATAAAAAATGAGACAATATTCCTAGCAGATAGTAGGAGCTTGACAAATGTTAATTAGCATCACCAATTTATTATTAAGGAATTAATAGAGAGTAGAGAGGCCAGAGGGAATAGCCCATGAGGATATCTAAAAAGATGAAAAGAAAGGGGAGAGTGAATGGTAGCAGAGAGTGAAATGTGTGGACACCATCAGTGGCCTTGAGTCACCCAGCTCCCAGCTCCCCAGTGAGGTACTCATAGTAGGTAACTAGGCAAAGGCTGATCTTCTGAGACTTGCAACATGGAGTACCAGGCTATGCTGGTGAGGCAGGGAGCTGTCAGAGCAACGAGTGTTACCTCTAGTGAGAGAGGTAAACACAGGCCAAGAGAAAATAGACCTTGCCTGCCTAGAAACTAGGAAAGAACTAAAGGAAGCAACATCTTGGGCTGAAGAGATGAATTAGGAAGCAAAACCAAGACCAGCCAACAGAAGTCAGTATATTACAATTTGTTGGGTTCTTGTGAGTATACCTCTCTCATCCTTATTAACAGGTCCCATACAAACCCTGAACCTTTGGGGTCAGCACTGCCCCAAAATTGAATCAACACTTTCCTCAGAGGTAACAGGGGAGCCCTGGGTCATTGACTCCGGATCTTAATCGGTTAGCATTTGTGCTGCTCGTCCCATTCTGACTGTGGCCACTTAGGAACTGGCCTGATGCCTCTTCAACCAGTTCGTCAAGGCAGACTACTGCCCTTGAATTCCTTCCAAGGACTAGAAATTCTTCCTAGTAGCTCAAGTCTATGAAGGGCTGACCTAAATCACACAGCCTGCAATCTTGGAGTCGATGTTCAGACCCAGTTACATAGGACTTCTGGTACTCAATAAATGTTATCACTTAATTATACAGCAAAAGTCCAGACTTTAATGGGAAAAAAAAAAAAAAAGATCTTTTTTGCATACGGCTCTGGAGACATTTAATACATGAATCATTTTAGACTAAATGTGTCCCAAATACATAAAGGGAAAGAAAGAACACTGTCACTGCCCTACTCCATGTTCTGGCCACCAGTGGAAAGAGTTGGCAGAAGCCCTTGCAGTACTAGAATGCAGACCTGCAACGAGGCACTGACCTTGAGAAGGAGGCAGATGCCTATGAAGGATGAACCTAGCCCAGCTCCAAGGATGGTAACACTGAGGATGCCTCTTTAGCAACTCATCCCTCCATGGTATCTGTCCACGCCTGGCTACAAGGAAAGGTGCAGGGAAGCTTTTTCCACCCAAGAGAAATTGACCGGCCCAGATAAATTCTACAAGCTCTACAGAAAGAAGATCCCTCTTTCAGTCAAGTAGGTAAGGTACGAGGTAATGTTTGCCAATAAATCAGGGGATCTAGAGAGGCTATTAATTTGAATTCTCGAAGGAGAGAAGGAGGTGTCCTGAAGTACTAGTTACCCAGACTTAATGTCAATTGGTAGGTCTTTTCTGAAGGACCAGACACCTTGCTGAAAGCTCTCAATCACTTTGAAGTGTAAAAGGAAGTTGTGATTGGTTAATGAAGACAAGGGGAGAGAGATTAAAGGGAGAAAATATCTCTTATTCTTTGAAGATACCAGTAAGGCTTTCTTTTAAATGTGAACTATCGGGGCCTCCCTGGTGGCACAGGGGTTAAAGTCTCAGTGCAATCACGCTATCGCCAGCCACTGTGGCATGAATTCAATGCCCAACCAGAAGTTAACCTACATATGGCCCAGCAGACCTCTCCTGTATTGCCCACTGCTCCCCTCAGCAGTGTATTTCAATAGATCTGCTTGTTTTACTCCCCACTCTCTGGTGAATCCTCTCACTCCCCTGCCCCACCCCCACACCTCTGGCCTACACTCCAGCTCTTGTATGAATAAATAAATAAAATAAATCTAAATGTGAACTATCTAGCTCTTTCCTCAGTTCCTTCCCATCATTCAGGGGAAAACATATCTACTCTCTAGACAAAGAACACAAAAAATGAGGTATTAGACCCCTCCTAATTCACAGGACAGTGGAAGACACAGCTAAGTAAATCACTATAATACAATGTAAAGGATTTCCATAATACAGATGGTTCAAGATGCTCAGTGAACACAGAGGAGGGAGGGACTAACACTGTGGTTTTAGATGAAGAAGGCTTCACTTAATTAAACTATGAAAATTTTCTCTGGATGGAAGGGAGT